TAACAAGTACCTGGGTAGGCATTCATTAATTCCCAATAAAATGAATACAATCGCTACAATCGCTGTTTGAAAACAACAATGATTACTTTTCCTTTCTTTCATTTCATCTATATTTCTCTCATAAATTAATGTCAACATTGATCGATCTCCCAAGAAAGGGCCCAAGGGAAATAGTAATCCAGCCAGCCGCTTGGAATTTGAGTACTGGATTGGATTGAAGAAAGCAAAGACAAGAGCAAGGTCCGATCCCGCCTTAACTTGAAGATGGATTGTTGACTCGAAGAAGAAGAAAAGAAGAAAAAAGAGGATACGGTACGAGGTAGATGGTAAAGGTAGGTAAATCAAACCAACCACCTCTCATTCTCTCTCGTAATTTGAGTTGATTCCAGGTTGTCTATGACTTTGTAATTATACTCGAGTACAATTTTATACAAATATACCTACGAGGTATCTATCAAGAGACAATGATTTATCGACAGCACAGAGGGAGTTTCATTGAATAAGTAAGTCAAGTCGGTCCAACAGTACAACTGATGAATTGGATCTGAAGGTACGCACGTAGCGATAGATAGGAGGATTGTGAATATGAAGTCTCCCAAGTAACAATTAATTAATAAAAAGCAGATACCGGTATACCTTTCCATCTACCTATACCTAGTAGTTAGCTACCTAGGAAGGTACCTAGCTATACAGTCCCAGTCCCCAGCCCAGCCCAGTACACCTTATACCTAGCTATATCATAACTACTAACTGCCTAGTACAGTATCCCTATTCAACACTCACCTCCGAATGTAATAACAGAATGAACAAAATGAACAAAATGAACAAAATGAGATCCAACCACACCACACCATCAACCATACAAACCCTACACCAAATAAACAGACAATTCAATACCTAGATTCACGCAAAGGAAAACTTTTATCATTTCCCACAAAATAGAGTATAATCTCATTCCAAAATAAACCCGTCATCATAACATTCATCCATCCATCCATTCAAAAGTAACCGACCGGGTTTCATTTCCAATCAAAGAAAGGAATGAATGAATGAGTGATCTAGATACTCCTTATACCTTATATCATACATAAACATATACCTCCCTAGTCACCATGATACTCGGAATGTATTTTGGGTACATTCTAGCTTTCCTTACTTACTTCCCTACACCTACAAGCCCATGCTCAAAGCTTCTCCTTCATCATACATACAACCTTGGAAGATACATACAAGATACATACAGGAAAGATCTCACCATCAAATTCTTCTCCTAATACATACATACAATACAATACAATACAATACAGTAGGTACTCAAGCACATACCCACTAGATAATTACATCTTTTATCCTTAATTATACTTCCATCCGCACGTCCCTCCTACACTCCATCCCATCCACAGGTACCTACCTAGGTATTCAAAGATTCAAAGCACAAAAGTAAGTCCGAACTTTCGCATTAAAGCTTGCTGCTAAAAGAATCATAATCATAAACTCCGAGTATATATATACATACCTATATATATTCAGTAGGTATCTCATGATACCTAACCAACAAATAAAATGTTATTAGACCTCGACAATCAAACATTAAAAATACATCTCCCACGTAATGCAAAACCATACGGTTAAAAAAAAAACCTCACTGCAGCTTGTTCTGGAGGTTGCATGCATGCAGGTCAAGAGATCCAAAATCACAAGGTCAAATGGTCAAGGTCATCCGTCCGCCAGGTACATACGGAGTACACAACCTTATCAACCCTACCCGACCAACCGACCAACCGACCAACCGGCCAACCCATCTCCAAACCATAAAAAGGGGCAAAGTTATGTCGGTAGGTGTGTCAATAGGTCGGTACCTACTCGTATCTACTAGGTAGGTATATTTATATCAAGAACAAGGCTGCATATATATACGGTGTATGATACATCCTACTTTGTACAATATACATAGCCTCGAATGATCTGATGATGTATAATGTATTTATGTTTGTACATATCTATCTAGTATATACATGTATATATCCATCCATCCAATCCAACTCTTTTCATTGCACATCTCATTCATAACCACCTACCTACCTACCTAGTCTCCGCATCGGATCTCTTCTCTATTCTTTGACTCATGTCAAAAGGGGCATATTTTTTTTTCTCTTCTCTTCTCTTTTCTTTTCTTCTTCTTCTTCTTTTCGGGAGACTAAGATAAGATTGATTGATTGAGTGATGAATAATAAGGACCTACTAGGTACCTAGTAGGTCAGGTAGGCTCGCGACCTCGAGAAAAAGCCGTCCACCAAAATTCTACACCTTAATCAAAATTCAATATCAAAACAACAGATTCAACTTTTTGATTGAAATTATATACCTTAATAATTTATCAAAGAAAGATTCTAAAGCTTCAGTTTTCAGAATAATATAAAATGTGGAGAAATTTATATTGAATTTTGAAAAAGATTATTTCTAGATTCTCTTTTATTTTTGCGGGGTGGGTGTCCGGCTTTTTCTCGAGGTCGCGAGGTAGGTAAGAAAAAGAGTCAAAGCAGAGGAGAGAAGAGAAGAGAAGAGAAGGAAATGTTAAATACTCTTGAGTAATTGTTATTATTATCGTTATTTTCTTGATTGATTTTCACTCATCGTTTGTATTCGATAAGTAATATGTAATATCGAAATTCTATAATTATAGGTCGGTAGGTATATGTAAATAGGTATCGTAAGTATCTCTTCATTACTTACTCATTTCTTACTCACTCAATTCGACATCATAAAACCCTCAAGTTAGGTAAAGAATTCACTATTCAAATCACTCCCATCCATCCCATCCCTAACAACCCTCTCTCTCTTCCTCTCTCTCTCCCTCTCCATTCATTGGTGGAATCCCACCAACTCCCTCCCAAGCCGGATACCGGTACCTTTTTACGAGTATTATTAGACCAATGGATCTATCTATCTACCTAGTACGATATTCCGTACTAGATACCTACGATAATACCTACCAACAAAGTCCCTACGTACATAACTAGCCCAGTCCTCTGTAAATAAATACTAATACTAACTTAAGTAGATACCGTAGATAGATAGATATTTGTGGAAATAGAAACCAATTATATTATAGTATACAGAAGATAGAGTGAGTGAGTGAGTGAGTGAGTCTACCTCACCTCCTCACACTTCATTTTATACCATCCTATTCATCCTATCCTATCCTATCCTATTCATCCCATCTCAGTTACAATTGTACATAACTCTATGCAGCTTTCCATACATCCATCTCCGTATTTGTATTCAACATCTCCATTTTCGCCATTTTCGCCAATATCTCCCATCTCTCCCATCCCTCCCATCTCTCCCATCCCTCCCATTTCTCCCATTCCTCCCATCTCTCCCATCCCTCCGATAACCCTCCCCCTCCTCCCTCCCTCAATCCCCATCCCTCCATTTCTCCCATTTCCTTCCCATCTCTCCCATCCCTCAATCCCCATCCCGCATTCCCCAAACTTTCTCATACACAAACCCAATTCATATATACACATACATACATACATACATATATACAGGAGTATATACACATAGATATCAAAATTCTCTAATCTATAATTCATTACTTATCAACTTATTATCCCCATCTCATATCTCATATCTCATATTCCTCATATCTATAAAAGATTTACTTATACCTACCTCTCCCTCAATCCCCATCATCTATATCTACATCTATATCTATCTCTACTCCTCAAAATCCATCCAAATCTATTCTCCCCTTTCCTCTCCCCTCATCCCATCCCATCCCCTCTCCCCCTCTCCCCAATCTCCTTTCCTTTCCACACCAAGTACCCCCCATCCCGTTAGTTTCCCAAATCTCCCAAATCTCCCAAATCTCCCGAGTCAACCAAGTCCACCACCCTCCACCCTCCACCCTCCACCCAATTCAATTCCCCCCTCTCAACTTTCCCCTCTCAACTTTCCCCTCTCAACTTTCCCCTCTCAACTTTCCCCTCCCAACTTTCCACCTTCAAAAAAGTCCCACCCCTGAAAAGAAACCCCCCTCCAGCTACGAAGGTATACATCCTCATCATATGGAATAATTACATTACAACACCGCCTTCGCTAGCCAGGCCAGGCTCCAGGATCACTTTGGGTACCTAGGCAGAATGATTCTATTAGTGGCAAAACAAAAGCGGTGTAATATAACTTATTCCATAACCACATAACCATACTCGTACCTTCGTACTTATTATTCATTCATCCATCCATCCATTCATTCAAATCTTCACGATCCATAATGCATCCTCAAGTCATCTATCTCTCCATCTCTCCATCCATTTTCCGTACGAACCTCGTAACTACAAACAGAATATACACTTTAAAATACAATCCCCGATATCATAGCTTGATTGATTAATGATTAATGATTGATGATTAAGCGTCATACATACCTAGTACATATATAGATACTCCTCTCCGTATCCAAGATACGATACGATGCGATACATGCTCCATACACACTCCATCTATACTCCATATATACGATACGATACGATACGATATAAAATATAAATCCAAATCCAACCCATTTCTAATTCTAATTCCAATTCTTCCAATCGATCAAACGATTAGAGCATCACTTTGTTATCGAAGTCAGGTAGGTAGGTAGTTAGATCAAGCTATCCATTTATTTCATCGATCTATCGATCCATCCATCCAACCATCCAATTCTTCATCCATACAATTTTACTTTAAATTTTGCTCAAAAAGAATTAAACCCCCTCCCTCCCCCTCTCCCTCCCCTCCCCATCCCTCCCCATCAATAAAACTCCACACAATCAATTAATCAATCAATTAATCAATCCACTTCGCACAAGTGAAAAGAAAAAACCAGTGCTAAATCAACCCTACTGCACTACCCTAATAAAATAAATATCTTCATCATCTTTGTCAATGGAATCTTACAAAAATAACGCCAACATATCATTCACCCATTTCTCCTCTATTCCTCAATATCCTCAATACAACTTAAGTGAGCTTCTAAAGCTTCCCGGTCGTCCACTTCCACTCCGACTCCCACTCGCACTCCCTCTTCCATCATATCCTATCTTCGCCCTATGTCTTGGTTTCGACAAGAGCATTCCTTCTGCCTTCCCCTTTTCATTATCTGCTATACTTCTCTCCAATTCTTCTAGAGTCCTAGCCGCCTCTCTATCCATGACTGATCCAGCTGACGTTTCCGCTCCAACTTCGTCTCTAAAATCCTGTTTGGCAAGTTCTGCTGCTTGTTGATGCCACTTATCTATTCTAGCCGTGTCGATATATTGTGTTAATACATCGTCTTCCATTTGATAGTCTTGCATCATGCGTTCGCGCATACTGGCGTCAATTCGAGACCAGCGTTGCTCTAGCTCTTCTGTGCATGCACCAAGGACTTCTTCAGGAGTTAATGACCTGATAGTGAGATCCTTTTCGAAGATACCTATTGAAAATATTATTAGTTTGCAATTCAATGTGATGTCAAATGATGGTACTTACGATTCTTGAAGCAGGCTTTGAGTGTCCAATACAAAGCTGTTGTCTTTAACTGATCTTCTACAAATTGATCGTCTTTAGCCTCTGTATTATTCATCGCAGCCCAGTCATCTCTTAAGAGACATCGTCTCCAAATAACACGCTGCATAAGCAACTTCTCTTCCTTGTTTGTGACACCTAAACGAATAGCTTCAAGTGCCCAATAAAATCTACTCATGCTGAAGTCATCTTGTTCCATGGCTCTGAAATTATCACCCATGAGGGTAAGTAAATCAACCAAACAGAATGCATCCATTGTTTCATGCTTGACCAGATGAGTGATGCTACTTTCAAGAAGGTTCATAAAAGAAAATTGTTGTTTCAGACTCTTGTTGCCATGAGTTTCTAAAGCAAGTTGGACTTCCGCGTTATCATCGATGGCTGTGCTGATGGTGGGATATATATACTTGTAAATCAGATCTTGAATTTTGAGCAATCCAAGCTCTTGATTTGCTCTGACAAGTTCTGATTCACCTCCGTCAGGAATCAGGATTCCGTTGGCCTGACTATAATTGCGACCTGCCATGCGTGAAAGCTTGCCGATACTAAGTTCGACCTTTTTGCTCCAGACATCACGCTCTCGATCTAATCCAAGTTCAAGAAGCATTCTCGCGGCCTCATCATAATCCCTCTCTCGAGTGATCTCATGAATCCAACCGATCTTAGCATACTCTGGTTTATCGCGTAGAAAAGCAGTGAGGAATGCTCGCTGATTTTGATAATCATTGAGCATCTGTTGTATTTCTCCTGTGCCAATGTAATATTCATATAGAGCGGCAGCCCAACTCGCACCGAAGTTTGCAAAAGACTTGTCCATCCGATCACGGAGGTCTTGCTCTCGCTTTTTGAGATTTCCATAGTCTTCTTCGTCAATGCCCGGAATACGAAGCCTATCGGCACAAATACCGACCTCATACATCAGCACAGTTGCCAAGGTTTGTAGAATTTCGTATTTTTCCGCCAAGTTCATTGCTTCATCGGGGAGACTGAAGGTATCTGCAAGGCGCTGTAACTGTTTATCTGTGGCATCGAACTGTAGTGTTTGGAGTCCTTCTGCCTGCATTTGAAGTTGTGGTGAGTCTTGAGCCGATACCCAACGTATCCTCTCCAAATTGGATCGGATGGCAACGTCGATAAGATTAGGATGCTCCAGTCGAATTTTCTCGAGGGTTGCAGGATCGGGGCTGTCCTCTGCAACCGGTTTATTCCAGAAATCTCCAAATAGCGTAGAGACAAGGTCTGTTTGCTTTCGAATATTCTCTGCAATGTAAAAAGTCGAGGTCCAAAACTCCGGAAGTCCCTCGTAGCCTTCTTCTAATACCCCATGTGAAATTGTTTCCGATTGTAATCCATACAGCCTCAAATTATTCATTCGAAAGTCAAACGCACCCTCCAATGCGCTAATCATTACATCGTTGGATTGGCTGAGCGTCTCCATCACTGAAGCAGGAGCTTGGCCATTCGTCCAGGCGTACTTGAGCATCTGGAATGCCCATGGTACCGCCAATTCCAATCTAAAAACATCATGAATAAAGAAATGTCGAACGCGATCGACTTCGCCTCTTTCAGCAACAGGCTCAGTCTTGAGATTTTCATGAATGTGATCTACGAGATCGGCGAGAAGCCCACGCTTTTGGTCGTCTGGTAATTCTCGAACAAGAGCGTCATACCGCTGCCAGATAATTGTTGCCGCCGACATTCTCTCTGCATCCCAAAGTAGCTTCCATCGTGTGAGCCTATCAATTTCTACGCCAGTAGCTTTGAGATGCTTAGCAAGATCATGGAGAGCTGTTGCTCGTCTCTTAAGATGTTGTTCGAGAGACGCAGACACCGAGGGAATAAAAGGAGTCCTAGATGCCACGATCTCTAAACTCAATTCCAGAGCTGCAGCTCCAACTTCTTCCGGAGGGAACTGAAATTCTGATCTTCCTGCGAAGCTTAAAGGATTTTGTGCCATTGTACCAAAAAACACTGCTTGTTCCAGCTTGCTTTTTGCAGTGACTTGCTGTCCTTTGTTGGATGCGAGTTTATCAACGTCGGTAGCTGCCACACGAATCACACCCCCACCACGAACGAGAAGAACAGCAGCTGGGTTCTTTGCTTTGTATTTGAACGATTTTGCTTCCTCAATTCCATGTGGAGTATTTTGGGGTTCTTCCATGCCGGATCCGACAATCTCAACATTGGTGTCCTCCCTGAAATCTACCACATCTTCGAATGATGGCGAAAGTGTGTGATTTTCAGAGCGAAGCTGGGAGTCGGGCGATTCAACTTGTTTTGCCCTTGAAACAACAACGACAGCACGGTCAAAGACAACATATGCTACCAGCGCAGGACTTGGTAGATAAATTCGAGCTTTTGAAATCGCATTTTTGTTGACTGGTGTGGTATAAGATTTAAGCAGTCGAACATCTTCTACAATCAATTGATCCCGCCTAAGTACAACATCAACAAGAGTGTAGTGACTGGTGTATCGATTGGAGAGGGATGTTAACAAAAGTAAGCGATCTCCTTCATTTTCGCGATCCTCTGGTGTTTGTGGCATAAAAGTGAAATCAAGAACTTCGAAGGTTTCTATCGAGAGGTCGAATAGGATAGGCTCTGCCTTTTTCATTTCCAGAACAATTGCTTCCCGTCCTTCAGCTTCCCCCTGAAGAGCATTCTGCCCATCCCTTTGAAGGTTCCAAAGTTGTATTCTCCCCTTTCCTGTTGCGACAACCACATTTCGATCTCCCACATGCTCCTGTGGTCCTGCGCGAACGGCGGCAATGTCTCCACGCCATGCTGTACTAGACAGTACATTTCTAATACTACCAAAAAGACCTCCTGCCAATGGTCCGCTTGATCCTCTCAAGAATTGAACAGATACTTCGGGTCTTCCATGTCCATCCCTGACTCGTAGATAGGCCAATCGCCCAGTACTGAATGCCAGAACAAATCCGGCTGTTTCCGCATTCAAAAGTTGCACAACGGTTTCTCCGGAAAGCATTCCTGGTATAGTTGATCCGACTCCATTGCTTTTTAATTTAATAAGATCAAGTGTAGCGGCGCTTGCAATAGACTCCCAATATGTGATTTTACCAGTAGGTATAACAACGACAAGACCAGGCTCCGAGGATGACGCAGAGGGCGAGACCAGCGAACCAAGAGGAAGAGGGTCGGTTATATGCTTATGGCTATAAGGTAACGCGAATGTAAATGTTTCGGGGGAAGGGATGTTGATAGCGTAGGGCCAGACGAATGCATGGGAATGGGTGAGAGCAAGTGCATAACCGCTATCTGAATATATTGCGCCGTGCTGACGAGCTATAGCATAGATTTAGTGATGAACTTATAGATCACTGAAAGAGTTGTAACTACCTGTGATATCTGCGCGAATTTGATCTGGGAGCGCTGGCAATTTGCTAACTGTATAGGTATCATTTTTGGTCTGCCCGAAAGTGTAAGTCAACAGTCTCCAAAAGTCGCAATACAATGCGAGATTGAACAACTCACAAGAACTACACTGCCATCTCCTTTCCCAGTCCTATCCGTTCCTTTCGACTTCTTTCCTCGTACAACAATCTCTCGTCTTTGACTTGGTACCTCCTTAGGACTTTCGCGCCTCGTCAACGTAGCTACTTTGTTGACTTTTGCTTCCTCTATTTCGGGTGTACCATTTGGCGCAAAAGTCTGATCATCGTATGAGCTTCTAACTCTCTTGCTTTTTGGCTGTGCTATTGAATTCTCATTCGAATGAGGGCGTGGACGTCTCCTGCTACTCCTTACTGGAGCTGGAGCGCCAGCGTTGACTGTGGGCGAAAACATTTCTTGAATATGCCGATGAGAATTAAGTGATTGAGGTTATAGTATAAGAAAGATCGATGATGTTGTTGGCATAACTCGTGGAAAGTGATTGATCGTGGCTCGTTAGTGTTTGTTTTGTTTTCAAAGCTTCTTATAAAATAAATCAATCAATCATGGATATGGATGGATCCAAAATCAAAAATCAATTGAATACGGCTACAGGTACCAAAAGAAAATAAAGGCGACCGGTGGAAACCTTGGAAGCACGCGTTTTAATCCTTGAGCTCTGACCACACCTCAAGGCTCAGGCGTAACTTTTTGCTATTTGTGCCAGGCCAGCAGCAATGAGAAGCTCCAGCTGTGTTCTGATGTCTTCTGGAAAGAATTGGACGAGAAACAGATTCAATAGATAAATATTCGACAATCATTTGGGTCAATTGAATTCAGTATTCTTCACCATTTATGCGCATGCCTTTAAATATATTTGTTTCCCAATGGACTAGTGACAGTGAGACAAAAGCACGTCGTCAGCAAACCACTGCAGACACCTGCAGACGTCACAGACAGAGAATCTGATTTTGTGCGGCATTAGCATCTTGAGCTTATCCAATTGTGACTGTCTATCTTTCGAATTTCCTCTTCCAATACTGCCAGATAGTCCTCAAGGACAGACTGCTATCTCCACCGTCGAATATCTGATCTCATTCAACGATATACTATTCATTGACCAAAGATCCATCTCAACAGAAACATGCAATAGGGACGCGAAAATAATTGTAGGTATGCAAGGCTACAAGGCTGAGGCGCACGTACAGGTACAAAGCCACACTCCAGCCACAGAGGCAAGGCTAAGAAAGCGACGTCCGATTTAATGCCGGCGATGACGCTTGCATTTTCCACCCCTCATCATTTTATCATGGAGATCCATCCATTTGCTTTCATCTCGACCATGAAAGTTCCAAATGCCACCAACAAACCTCCCTCAATCTACAGGGCTAACCATAACCAATCCTCTCATATTGTATCGTGCCCTGTTGGCGACTAAAGTAATTGACCCCGACCCAGCTCAACATCGCATAGCTCTACATTTGCAAAAACTATATCTGCGGTTGAAGGATTATAAACCTCAATCGGAATATGCAGCTCGACTCAAAGCAATCAGTCAGGCCGTCAATGATGGCCAAAATAATGAAGACGGTCGGACGGTAGCAGTACCTGGTCATCCTTTGAGGAACAATCCACTATTTGCCCATCTTTTCAGAAGGAAAGAACGGCAAGATACACTTGCTATGACCAGAGTTCTTACGAGTCATGAAGCAGCAATGAATTTGGATTCTCCGCAGGGTATACTACTTCATGGTGAAGTTGGGACTGGAAAGTCAATGTTATTGGATATGCTAGCCGATAGTCTACCGAACAACAAGAAAAGGAGATGGCATTTCAATACATTCATGCTAGAAACCTTTTCACGTCTGGAACAATTGAGACAGTCTCGTTCCAAGCATGGAAATTTAGATTCTGAAGACTACTCTCTACTTTGGCTAGCGAAGGATATGATTGAAAAGTCACCTATACTCTTTCTTGACGAGTTTCAGTTACCAGACCGAGCTGCGAGTAAAATATTGAGCAATCTTTTGACACCATTCTTCCAATTAGGTGGTGTACTCATTGCATCCTCAAATCGTATGCCAGAAGAGCTCGAAAAAGCCAGTGGTATGGATTATGCCGTGCCTGGTAGGGGAGGACTCGTGAAGAATTGGCTAGGCTTAGCTAAGCCACAGAAACTCGACATGTTTTCTAGTGGGAATGAGTTTTCGGGATTTGTTGGAGTTCTGAAAGCCAGGTGTGAAATTTGGGATATGGGAAAGGGTGGAAGAGATTGGAGGCGAAGAGAAATCGAGGATGTGGACGATGAAGCAGCGAAGATGTCTGAGATAATGAGAGAGGAAATGATAGAAGGGTTTACAGGACTTGAAAAGCTTTCACCCGGCAATCTTGGACTTGGATATGAGCAAAGTATTCATGAAAAAGATGATGACAGTACCACCGAGAAGATCTTAAAAGCCAATACTCCCAAAAAGTATCTTCTCGCTTCAGATAGTGATGATACGTGGGAGAAAGTGGTAAAATCAGCTTTCCCGTCCTCTCCAGATCCAATTCCATGGCAATCAACCACACTCTTAGTTTACGGACGCACAGTTCCCGTCGCCCGTCATCTTAACGGTATAACCTACTGGGACTTTCCCACTCTCTGTGGAGGTGCTTTTGGTCCCGCAGACTATATAACTATGGCCTCCACTTTCCACACATTCATCATCGATGATGTGCCAATTTTAACCCTGCTTCAAAAGAATGAAGCAAGACGCCTTATCACCCTCCTCGACGCTCTTTATGAAGCTCGATGTAAACTCATAATTCGCGCCGCCACTGGCCCTGATACTCTATTCTTCCCCGAAACAAAGCTGTCACCTTCCTCGGATTCCGAATCCGAATCCGAAAATCCTCAAGATGCAGTATACCCCGAAACCCTCGCTGAAATATACCAGGATCAAACATCTCCCTTTCGACCAAATGTTTCTACGTATACCGATACTCCTAGTGTTAAAACGGGGTATGACCCCGATGAAGATGCGGATTTCGGACCAGTTCCCGGAGCGGGAAATGAGATTGGGAGGAGGAGAGGAGTGGATTTTGCGAGGACGGAAAGCTTCACAGGAGAGGATGAGAGGTTTGCGTATAAGAGAGCGGCGAGTAGGTTGTGGGAAATGTGTGGCGGGAGGTGGCATGCTAGGGGTGGACAGGGGGAGGAAGAGGCTTGGTGGAGACCATTAAGTGTGGAAGCGAGGGGATGGGAAAGAAATATTGGGGGAGAGGTGATTGGAGATAGTAATGTGGTTATGAGAGAAGTACGGGGTGACGTGAAGATGGGAGGTTATGTGGAGCTTGAGAGACCTGCGGGTTTGGAAGGGAAGCAGTTGGAGGAGATGGAGAAGTTGGGGAATGGAATGGCGAAGCGGTAGATATAGAAAACTTATATATATCTTTTTAAAGCGAAATCATTTCAGTTGCACATCTGACACATGCAATACTTTTTACGATACAGTATGTTCGTCTTATGTTTTTAGTGACAATCGCGATTTGTCTGATATTCAACTACAAAGTCATCAATATTACATCCCCAACACACTTGCTGTATGTGTCACACACACTAACTTAGATCTACAACTTAAACCCACCACCACCAGTAACAACCTCATTTGCCATAATTTTCTTCCCATCTACATCCCTCATCTCACCTCTCTTTCCAATAACCTTGACACCACCCCTCTTCAACTCACCCACCACATCCTTCTTCTCCTTCGCCTTCTTACTCAGCACCTTCTCACCCTCGCCCATCTTCTTAATCCTCTCCTTCTCCCTCCTCCTCCTCCTCAATTTCTCCTCTCTGCTCATCTCCTCTCGCGCAACGGGTGCGCCACCTCGTGTAATTTCTTTATTATCTTTCTTCATGCCCTCGACCACCTGTCCAGCCTTATAGATCTCCTGAGGCGCCAATCTCGATTCCGCTCCCGCGATACCAGAAGCTGTAGACGGCTGAGCATCTTCCATACTGATTGTAGCGACGTCGCCCACGACGGTGAGACTCGGTGCTGCGGGTTTGGGTTTGTAGTGCCAGGAACTGAGAGCGTCGAGTTTAGCACAGATATCCTTCCAGAGGTTCTCGACTTCTTTTTCTTGGGCCTGGAGTTTTTCGTCCGTGGCGCTGACGTAAGTATCTGGATTTGTGCTTTTGATATGTTCCTCCTCGTAGATTTCCGCGAGACTCTGTTGGTTTTTCGAATCGTCGAGTTCGAAGAGGCCGCGGCGGGTATTGGCAGGGGTTAGCGAATCAGGACGACGACGAATGACTTCGTCGAATTCTTGGGCGAGAATACGTCTCTTGATGAGTTCTTCGATGCTTTCGCTCACTTCGGCTGTGATGACGGGTACGGGTTTGCCGGTACGTTCGAAATCGAGGTCTTCTTCCAAGAGGGAGTTCATGGGTCGATCGAGAGCCTTTGCTTCTCCTGCTAGTGTCCAGTCACGTTTTGCGACGGATGCGGCTTCGAGACGACGGATTTCTTCGCCGATTTTGGCTTGGCGACGTTCGTGGGCTGAACGACGAGATTTAGGGTCTCCGGGGTCGAGATCTGAGAGTGCATCTTCCGAGTTGGCGTCGTCTTCGTCGTCAAATAGATCGCGTCGGACGTCAGCCATAGCTCGTTCCATAGCAGCTTCATCTTCTTCAGGTGCTTTTTTAGCTGCCTTTTTAGCTTGTCTTTCAAGGTAGTTTGCTTGTCGTTCTCCTTTGCCGATTTTTCTTGGCGGAGGTTCGAAGAAATCTTTGTAGAGAATGTCATTTGTGTTGTCATCGGCTACATCAGCAGCTTCATCCAAATCCATATCATTATCGTCGTCACTATCTCCTTCAGGTGCATTCAAATCCATGTTGCCAAATGTTGGCCCATCCTCTTCTTCGTCATCCTCTCCGTCCGAAACATCCATAGCTTTCGCACGTTTGGATCCTTTATCTGATTTGATTGGCATAGACATTGGATCGGTGCCCCAGTCAATATCCTCTTCGTCACTTGCTTCTCCAGTATAAGGATCTGCTGAGGCATCCTGCCTTTCGAGAAATTCGGTTTGTTTATTGAACTCGTCGATTGAGAAGAAACCGTCGTTGAGTTTATTTGGATCCTCGACAAATACTCCAGCTTCGTCCTCCTCATCCTCCTCTTCGTCTTCTTCGTCATCTTCCTCTCCGAACCCTTGGAAAGCCTCCCCGTCATCTTGGCCGTCGTTTTCGTCCTCCGAGTCCGTGTGAAATTCCTCTTCCATTTCTTGGAGGTCCTCATCGCCTTCCTCGCCTTCGACATCTGAACCAATTGCGAATCCATCCTCATCAAAATTCATCATATCGGACCCCTCCTCTCCAGCGTCTTCACTTTCTTCACTCTCATCTCCGCCAATTCCGAGCTCTTCGAGACCTCTTGCCACCTCTCCTTTCAGTGCATCAACAACTCTCTTGGCCTGTTCGAAAACTTGCTGAGCCTCAAAACCTTGGGTATGTATTTTTCTAATCTTCAACACTTCTTCTTCAGCTTCATCCCTATCGCCCCTCTTTCTCTTTTTCCTCTGCTCTTTCAGTCTTGTAGCTTGCTCATCTCCTATTTTCCCTGCAAGGCTGTCCAATGTCTCCTTTGAAAAATCCGAACTGGTATTGAGTATTTTCGATGAAGGCGCAATAAAAGTATGACGATTGGTCGAGGCAAGCGCAGCTATTAAATCCTCAATTGAGCTTGATCCATTTGTGCCGTTTTGATTAAGCTTAGCGGCGGAGGCTTTGCTGGGCGGGGAGGCAGTCATAGTGTGGGAAGTTGATGTCGTCGAGGAGGTAATACTGCCTGCTGTCTCCATCGTTGGCTCCCTCAGTCTTTACTGTTTGACATTTTTGAAGTTTTTTTAACGATAAGACTAGCGTATTTTCCACAAATCCGATAACAGTCACGTGAACCTCGTTAATCATCCAGTACTTCATTGCCATCTGCTAGACATGGCCGGGCCGGGGGACCTTCCTTCTTCCTCGACATATATTTGAGCTTCATGTTGCCAAAGCAGAAATATCATTCTCGCCCATACATCTCTCCGATCAAGTGATTAATAGAGGTGGATATTCCAATGTCAAAGTTGATTTACAAGGCTCAATGCATTCTCAGAAGCTCTCTTCTTGACGGTAGTTAATCATTTCATAATTTGCATTTCTGCTCCATTTCTGCTGCATTTCTGGCCCATTTGCTGCAGTTCCATCAGCTGGAAAGTGTACAATAACCTGCATATATTGTTCCTAGTTAACACCTTCCGCACTTCGTTACCCGATTTATCGTGCCTGACGTTGCATGCGAAATCGGATAATCCATATTGTTCATCTCGATAAATGGCTGACTATGTACGACCGTAACACAACGGTTGTGTTGATGAAAGCAGGTAGCACATAATTAGCATTTTAGTGCAATATCATGGCACGACGCTGAAGGGGTTGAAACCCACTCGCGTGCACTATTACTGCTTCTAGACGGACCCATTGTACAACATTGACGGCGGATTTCAGACGAAGCCTTCAAACATTGAACATGCATGTCGACCAAAAGAATATGTTTCATGTGAAAATCTCAAAATCTTGAAAGGTGTGGGGGTTCTATGCGTTAAGAACAACCTCTAGATGTTGCTTCTCATGAGAATTGTCAACCGTATGACTTGATGTGTTTTGTGATTTCATATCCACTCCTCTTCTTATGACCGGTGGCCGAATCCTCTGTGGGTAAGAGAGGAAGGTCACGTCGCCGTCTCCAATTATCACCCACTTTGGTATCTTATTCTAATTTTCTAGTTTCACGACTCGAGGTGAAATCACAACATATTGAGGGGCGATCGAATTTGCTGAAAATGAGGGGGTCGGCCGGTTAAATAGCATCTTGATAGTCGGACGACATTTCGTAATTGAGCACACGAGAAGACATTGCCAGAGTCTTCCTGGGGGTCAATCTAGAAAGAGTAGACACCTAGATATACCGGGGGCGCGGAACTTGTACTAAAGATGGCATGTAGCATTCGCACAAGTTTCCTGTTGTAAGAAATCCACTTCAATATAATGAAAATGAGCCAACAGCATATCATCAAATCCAGATATATATTTCCTAAAAGGCGTGCTCGCTTATGACTCGGGGCCACTGGCTAAATTGAAAACAAGTGCATTGCATACCTAGTATATACGGATGAATGTCTACCAATAACATCGAATCTATGTCATCCATACTCCCTTGTTTCAATGCTGGGTGGATTTTGTTAAGTATTGGGAAGCCAATTACTATAGTAAAATCTGATAACACTTTGTACGATCTGTTTCTATGATGAGATGGGAAGAGTTGATGGTTCGAATTCCTACTCCGTAGGTATCCGGATAATGAGGAACGAACGGCGGTAGGATAGATCTGAGATCTAAGAATTCTGAGATAATCGGTAATTTTCCAACTAAAGTTACTTTTATCTCGTATCCAATCATTCGCATCCAACATCATTGATCCAACGATGATCCATCTATAGATACCGACTCCGTACTCATTAGGTAGGTAATATTCGTTGTGCACTATTGATCGCGACGCTATTGCAGGTGTGCAGGATCTAAAACCAATTGTCTATCTTGACATTTCATGTATCAAATGCCTCTAGTATCGTGATTGACTTTCCCGCTGAACATCTAGACCAACCGGCCAAACTATTGCAATCGTAAAATACACTTCCTGTCAACTTGACAAGCTCATTGGTCATTGATAACAAGGTTGCGTGAAAATAAAAATAATAATAACAAATTTTTCTTCTTCACTTGCAAGGAATATTTCTTTTCGGTACTTCGTAGTGCTTTCATTTCAATCACACCACCATTCATACCTACCTAGGAAGTAACACGGCATTGGATACCATTGAGCCCTGCTTTCGGTGCAGCGGTACGGTAGATGTAGAACGATACGGGGCCTCGGGGGCGTACAGTGGGAGATAATAATCACAGCTGCATCTTGGAGTTTAATTCGTTGGATATCTGCGCACCAATCAACGAACAGAATTGACACCAACCCTGCGGGTACATAGAGTACATAGTCCGTAGACCTTCCATGTGCATATGCATGCTATCGCTGATATGAAGACATCAGACATTCACCGAGCCACCCTTCTTGTAGAGAAGTAAGGAAAGGAAAGGATAACGAAAGGACAAGAGAGGAAACTCATTTGAGCAGGGGAAAACACTCCGCGGACGTCCGGCTGATGATTTTTAACAAATTCAAATTCTTGATTCTAAATACAATTTTCCATGAAAGATTCGTATTCTACAGTTCTACATTACAGTATTTCACACCATAAAAGTCACCCATTGCCCTCAAACTCTAGTTTATCGCTGCTATCTTTGCTATCGTTGCTGCCCTATCCGTATTGGTGGCAGTGAACACTAGAAGATATCGTCTGATCCGTACCTTAAGCTCATTCTAAATGATCAATGTCTCAAAGTTATTGAAAGAAAGAATTATCAGCTCCAACTTACACTCACTCGCCTGCTTCCATACAACTTACACCATATATATATATAAATATATATATATATATATCTTGTGAAGCAGGACTTGCTTGACCTACGCTGCTTGCTCCAGTTACTGCATTAAGCTTTCCCCGGGACCCTTGGCACTGTCAACATCATAAAGCTTATCATTTCTCGTTTTTTTTTTTACGATATTCGTTTCGGTTTTCTTCCCAAAGATAACCGACGCATCAGGTTTCAAGCGGATTTTGCACAGCTTTGGTCTAGATCCTCGTATCCACTCTCCTGTACATTAATAATTGTACTTCGTATCTTTCCTTTGCAATTGCGGATATTATTGCGTGTTGAATTTCCAACTTTCTCCACCAGGACCGCTATTACCCGCACATGAAAGTTGGTCAGGAACAAAGGAATCCTAAACACCTCGAATCCCATTACCTTATAAAAGGGAAACAATTGCTTGAGTAACTTTCCAAGACGAGTACATTGTGGGAATGAAGTACGGTCAACAATTCCAGTCGGACTCCGTGCCACAATGGGCGCCATGTGAGTGTGAAACATTCTCGTTTTATTGGTGTGATAGCGAAAATATCATGCCGCAGATCTGTACTAACACACAGCTTTCTCGCTCTGCGATTAGATAACCTTGATTATGATGAATTGAAGAATTCGATAAAGCACAATACCACAAGAGATTCTGGAAAATCGATCACTATTCCGGGTCATGTCGATACTTCTTTGGTCGCATTCGAGAATGAATTCTTTACAGAGTTATCAAACCAACACGATCGGGTCGAACTGTTTGTTAAGAGCAAGAGTGAGGAGATTGGTCGCAGACTTCGTATGTAGAGGGTCAATTTGAGACTGTTACCAGTCAATGCTAATAATTGAACAACAGAATATCTATCGACTATTGTCCTGCGATTACTTGCAAGATGTGCAGAAAGCTCCACTGGGCAGATGACGAGGAAGCGGATGAACAAGTTTTCCAAGTATAACATGCAGATTGAGAGTTGCGGGGATGATCTTGCGAGATTGGATCGATTTGTTGAAGCCCAGCGTGTCGCATTCTACAAGTTATTGAAGAAATATACGGTATGGTCGATTACATGTGAATTCAATAATCCAAAAACTTATTTGATGTCGTTAGAAATGGACCGGATCTCGAACACTCAAGGAACGATTCGAAGTTGAGGTATTGGGCAATCCAAAAAGCTTCACGAGACAAGATTTCAGTTCCTTACATTCTCAATATAACGATCTCATCACGCTTATCCGTGCTTCTACGCCAATGACGAGCGGGCCGTCTACTCCTAGTATGGGTTCGAGGAGAGACAGTCTCGGCCGTGCCCCATCACAAACACTACAGCGATCGCCGCCTCGACAAACATATTGGAACGAATACGACAACGGGAGTGATGTCGATCAGGACGAGCCATACTATATATATACGGATCTTAATGCGGAAATGACGTTCCCTGGCGCAGAAGTTGTAGCAAGTGCGATTCGACGAACAAAACAAGGAATGGGAAAAGTTAGGGGTTGGTTTATACCTCCCGGTTCAACAAAAAATCGGGAACGTGAGCCACTATTGGAAAATCGAGATAGGGGATACTTTCAACAAAGTCCAAGCGGAACAGCCAATGGTTCGATAACCGATGTCGAAGACGAAGCGTATGCCTCCTCGGCGGATTTTCCGAATGGATATGTTGCTCATTATGCAACATTTCCCAGCGTGGCGGATCAGCGATTGAGTCGATTCCAAGAACAAACTTTGTTATTCACAATGATTGCTTGCTTTTTCTTTTCAATACTATCTGAAGCTGCATCCACACTTCTTCTTGCAACAGGTCGACATAAATTAAGGACGGAAGTTGACTTGGGTGCACTCACGGGTGCCTTGTTAGGATTTGCTCTGGCTGCCGGTGGATTAATTTGCATGGCATGTCGCAATGAAAGGCTTGGTTGGGTGCACCGAGGAGTTGTGCTTATTACAACTGCTATTTTGTTGATTGGGAGTATTGTGCTCTTGATTATGGTAATTGGGAACTAAGCCTCTCATTAAGATCTCTAGCTAACGAACTACTCAAGACCCGCCGGTAGACACTATCGAGGATGGCGAGCGCTCAACGTAGTGGAGACAAATTGGCTCATATCATCAAGGTATCGTACATACTAGTACCATTGCTTTACGAGTTATTTGTCTCTCGATTTTAGTTTTTTCCTATGTGTTTCTTGTGCTATTTGCTTTACTCTGTCTATAGCGGGCGTAATTTGGCGGTTGATTCGTTTGGCATTTTGGTGTTTAGTATGGGAGGCACGTGCTAGACTA